GATGGAGACATCCGCTTTAAGGTTTTCAACCAGAGAGTAGGCATAGGTCTCCTTGTGAACCGTGAAGCCTGCTTCCGCCCCTATCCTTGCGATTTCATCCCTGAGGGCATGGTGTGTGGCAGTCCTCCCTTTCCCCTTTTCGCAGCGCATAAGGTGATTCGGGAGGCGGTCATCAGGGAAGGTGGTGCGGTATCGGCAGTCGCACCGCCTTGGGACAGGGAGGGGGAGGCCTAGGCGGAAGGAGGAAGCAGTAGAGTGTTGGGAGTGGCCCAGCCTCAGCGCAGAAGACAGTGGGATTGCCAGCAGCCAGTCCCCTGCTCCTGGGCCCAGCAGGGACTGCATCCGCTGAGCATGCCCTGAGAGGGGGTTTGGGCGCATACGCCGCGCCGTGTTCAGCACTCGGAGGTAGCGGCGGGTGTGGACCGCCAGGGCCAGGGACTGCTGGAGCTTCAGTCCCTTGGGGTCGCTCTTACCTGCCTGAAGGGCCTCCAGGCCGTCAGGGGGCAGGGCCGCTTCAGCTGCAGCTAGGCGCGAGGGCAGGGCCGCTGCGGAGTCCGGGGCGGAGTCCATAAGGGGGAGCAGTGCGGCTATGGCGGGGTGTAGGGAGTCGGCTAGCGAGTGCAGGAGGTGAGCCGCGCCGACCGCCGAAGCGAGGTACGCGTAACTCCCTTCCACGGCCGGGTCCGTAATGCCCAAACCCCCCAAGGTAACGGGGAGCGCTGCCTGCCGCCAAATACGCCTCCTTTCTGCGTTGCTCCTTGGCGCGACAATGTGCGCGGCCTCTAGGAACGCGTGGAGCAGCCGCCCCCCATGCCGACCATTCTGCTGTGGGCAGGACCTCCAGCGGGGTAGTCCTTGCCAGGAAGGAGGCGCGGCGGCTGACGCAACGTGTGAGGAGGAGGAGGCAGAGCTGCGGGTCCATTTGCGCTAGCAACGGGAGCGGTTCAGCTGCTGCCGTAAGTCTGTCCCTGACTGCCGCGGCGCAGCCCTGCGTTGTGCCGACGGGGCTGCCGAGGATTTGCAGCCCTTCGGTCGAGATGGTGATGCCGGGGGGGACGGAGGCAGGGTCAATTGGGGCGGCGGACCAAGCCGCGCACTTAGCAGGGTTGTGAAGGAGCCCCATGGAGGCGAGCGCGGCTGTGAGGTGGTCGAAGGCCGCGGCGCAGGCAGGCGCATCACCGAGCAGCGTGATGTCGTCGGCGTAGGCGAGTAGGACCACCTGCACGTGAGCCGCTGCAGTCGCAACGAGGCAGGGGTGGATGCTGGCGGCGAATAGAAGGGGGCCGAGGGGATCACCTTGGCGGACCCCCCTGGTGCTTTGCAGTGGAGCCGCTGCGAACTCATGGTCGAGGAAGAGCGAGGAGGGGACTCCGTAAGACAGGCGGACCAGGGGGGTGAGGCTCTCGAGCGCTTCGTTCCTCAACCCCTCGAACACCGCTCTCCTCTCGACCGCGTTGAACGCGTTCGCGAGGTCGATCTGTAGCGCTACTGCCGCGGGATGGACCTCCAGGTAAGTACGTGCCGTGTGTATAGCGGCCTCAATGCCCCCCGCTACCGCCACGCCGAACTGAAGGGGGACGAAGTGAGATCTAGCTGCGGGCGCGATCAGGAAAAGAGCGGCTTTGGAGATGATCCGAAGTAGGCATTCCCCAACCGCGATCGGCCTCGTCCCACCGTGCGGTTTCGTGAAGGCCAAAAGACGAGAGGCGGTAAGTAGCTCTCCCGCAACGGCTGGTAGCTTCCCTGCCAGAGCCGTGTTGGTGAGGGCTAGGAGGTGGGTGAAGACTTCGGCGTTTCCTAGTGCTGCATCACGGAGATGTTCGAAGGTAGTTCCTGAGGGGCCCGCCCCCACTCCATTGGGGAGCTTGGCGATGATCCGTCTGAAGTCACGGGCTTCGATAGCGGGAGGGTTTTCCGCTATGGCAGCGTGCAGCCAATCAGGTAGCGGTTGGGATGCAGGTGGGTGTCTCGTCCTGAGGGCCTCGAGAACTTCAGGTGAAGCAGGCGACACGGGCGTGGCTTGCAGGGATTGCAACGATTTTGAGAGGTTACCACGCTTCGCCAGGCCCTCCGCTCTGGCGAGAATTCCAGTTGTGTCAGGTGCGTGGCGAGGCTGCGGGGGGAGGGAGATCGATTCGGCAGCTTCTTCGTAGAGGCCGGCCCAGAGCCCTTGGCGAAATCGCAGGAGCCTGTTCATCATTGCGCTCCAGTCCGGCTTAAGAGCTGACGAGGAGCGAAGAAGTAAGCGAGGGAGGAAGGTGAGTAACATCCAGCCAGGTTCTGACTCGGGGTTGGCTGCCAGGTGGAGTAACGGTGTCAGCAGGCAAATCGCGAAAGACTCGCGAAGGTCTTTTGGAGGGTGGCGGGCGACTGGGGGTTGGCGACTGTCTCGCAGCGGGCCAATGTCCCAGTCGGCAACCTGGGCGAACAGGTCAGTATTTTTCGCCAGGTCGTCGGGTTTGAGCATTGGGGGGGTCGGAATTGGGGCTGCTGAATTCTCATTGGCTGTCGCAGAGTCAACTCCAGTCTCTGTCGCGGCTCGATTTCCCCCCCTTGCGTGATTTCCCCCCGCGGCTCGGTTCTGAGCTGTGGTTCGGTTGGCAGGTTCGCCTCGGACATTTGGGCTAGGGAGCTCCTCTCCTCGAAGCAAAAGTTCCAACTCCTCCTCGTCCTCCCCAGCTTCTGCTCCCAACATCCCCTCTCTTTCAGGGTTAAAAACAGGGTCACCCTCGTCACTTTCCTCATTCTCCACTTCCTCCTCTGCCTCCTCGCTAAGCGGTTCCTCGCCGCCCTCCGCGCCGTTTCGCATCAGCCTTTCCGCATTTCTCGCGTAGCCGCTTGCACCAGTGCGGCGCCTGTTTGAACCTCGTGTTCCACCACCTCTTCGTCCTCTCACGTTACCTCGTCGTCCGCGGCGGCTGCCGCGTCCTACGTGGATTCCACGCGTTGCTCTTCCAACGGCAGCTCCCTCGCGCCCTGTCTGCGGCGCCGCGACCGTCTCGTTTTCGCTTCGTCGGCGCGCTGGCGTCGGCTGCGGTACGATCGGGGGTGATGGACCCATCCGCGAGACGGGATCCGGAGCTGGAGGGTTCCGCGGAGAGCGCGCTGCCGGAGCCTGCGCCTGCCGGGCCTCGTCCGCGTCTCCTTGCGCACCCCTCCGCAAGCGAGCCCGTTCGCCGCTTCGAGCGGGTGCAAACACTTCCCCATCGGCCTGCCGCGCGCCCCACCTCGCCGCGCCTGTACGTGTTGCGTCGAACCGCCCGGACGGTCAGCCGCGGCATGAGCGCGGGTGCTCGCCTCCACGTCAGCCTCCTCGGCCGCCCTTCTCCTGAGCATCGCGAGCACTATCAGCGCGGGGAGGGGGATCAGCGTTCCCCTGCACGTCCTCGCTCTCCTCGCCGCCCATCCCCTCGTGGTCGGGCAGGCCAGCGCTCACCCCGAGCGCGATCCCCCGCGCAACACTCTTCGCGGCGATCTCCGGCGACGCGGGGGAGGGGGTCGCCTGGGCGTCGCTGGGATTCGGGTTGCCGCGAGCAGTCCCCCCCGCGTCCACATTCGGCTGGTTCCGGGGGACGGCGGGGCCGGCGGAATGGCGGAGGGCGAGGCGGGAATGGCAACCAGCCGGATCCTGCCCTCGATCGCGCCGCGAACACGTTCGTGGAGGTGGTGAGGCAGGCCCGGGCGAGTGGGGCGCCGACTCACGTCCACATTGAGGTGACCAACGGTCCCCCCTTCGCCGCGGACCCCGGCCAGGTTGCTCCTCTGCGCGCGCCGACGCTGCGCGAATATCAGCCCGCGCGTGAGGGGAGGGCTCAGTTCCGCACCCCCCGTCAGGTCCCCGGCTTCTCTGCGCCGCGCTTATCTGTTGGCCGAACTCCAGGCTGGCCGACGGCGTTTCCGCGCGAAGCACTGACTGCACCTCCCCCCACTCGCGCGGGGAGAGACCCCATGCTGACCATGTGCAGGATTCTGAATCTAGCGGAGGCGTGCGAGGTGGTGGCGAACTTGCAGCTGGCGGTGTGTGGGGCCACGCGGAGCTTTCCGAGCAGTTTCGGTCCAGGATCCCGAGGATCCTGCGTGACTTTGGCAGAATCGCTCGAGTCACCGTTGGCACCCGTGTCGGATGCGCCCGCCGGGGTAGCTCCCTTAGCCCGTACTTTCCCCCGCCACGTGGGGGATCTTGTAGGGGTTGCTCAAGCCGGGACCCCCTTGGACACGCTCCAGTCGTCGGCGCATCTCCTTCTTGCAGTATCGGCGTGCATGCGCTCGATGCTTGAGGTGGAGGGGGCGGAGCCGTACACGATGTAGGCCTCCGCCGCGTGTAGAATTGCATGCCGCGCCTCTTGCTCTTGCCCAGCTCCTTGCCTTTGTGTGTGTGAGTGCCCTTTATAAGCAGAACCCACGTTGTGTGTCTTGCCACCAGGAACGCGCGGCCGAAGGCCGCGTTTGCGAGCGGCGGCGGCCGAAGGCCGCCGGCGCGAGCCGCCGAAAAAGAAACACCCACGAAATAATGAGGCAGGGAAGGCACAGAGGGCCCCTTAAATAGGCTCAGAGGGAGAGGGCAGAGGGAAGAGGGAGAGGGCTGGATGCTAAGGCCTTCTCTCTCTCGCTCTCGAGCCGCCGAAAAAGAAACACCCACGAAAAAATGAGGCAGGGAAGGCACAGAGGGCCCCTTAAATAGGCTCAGAGGGAGAGGGCAGAGGGAAGAGGGAGAGGGCTGGATGCTAAGGCCTTCTCTCTCTCTCTCTCTCTCTCTCTCTCTCTCTCTCTCTCTCTCTCTCTCTCTCTCTCTCTCTCTCTCTCTCTCTCTCTCTCTCTCTCTCTCACGATACTCCATTCCGTTCCCGTATTCTCCTCCCCCTCTCTCCCCCCAGGCACGGGCTGAAGCGAGCCAAACGGCTGCGGAGGCACGTCCGGATGCATGTTCTGCCTTTTCTTAGGGCGGGCGCTCAAATATAGAATCTTTCTCCTCCCCCACCACCACCCCCTTCTCCTGCCAGGCACGGGCTGAAGCGAGCCAAACCGCCGCAGAGGCACGTGCAGATGCATGGGCTGCCATTGCCAAGGTAAGCACGTGCCAGAGAACTTTGTTTCTCCGGCCCCCCTGTTCCCGCCACTGCCAGCGTAATCACATGCAGCTGTGCCTTCGCCCTCGAAACCCACCCTGTGAACTGCGTGCATGTGTAGACATGTTGTGCTGTATTTCGAAAGTTTTCCAAGAAAAATAGGAGAGATCGGGCCCGCGCTCCTTTTGAGGCGCCTCAAAACTCCTTTAGTGGCGCCTCAGAAGTTTTCCAAGAAAATAGAAAGAGAGATCGGGCCCGCACTCTTTCTCTCATCTACACCCCGTCCACTCCTCGTGTCCCTCCGCCCCTCCCTTCCTTTACAAGCGCACATGGAGGTGGATCTGTTGAAGCAGCAACGAGCAACGGCCATCAAGGCGAAGCAGACAGATGGAGGTGTTGCTTACCCTCAACACACTCCCCTCACCATCCCCTCTGCTCCCTCCCCTCTTCCTCTCTTCATCCCTTCTGGAGGCGCAGATGGAGGTGGACCGTGGACCTATTAAAGCAGCAGCTAGCAACGGCCATCAAGGCGAAGCAGACAGATGGAGGTGTTGCTTACCCTCAACACACTCCCTTTGCCCTCTGCAGGCGCAGATGGAGGTGGATCTGTTGAAGCAGCAACTAGCAACAGCCATCAAGGCGAAGCAGACTCCAATCCATCTAATCTCCCTCCTGCTTTCTCCCGCCTCCTCTCCTGCCACCCACCAGGCGCAGATGGAGGTGGATCTGTTGAAGCAGCAACTAGCAACAGCCATCAAGGCGAAGCAGACTCCAATCCATCTAATCTCCCTCCTGCTTTCTCCCGCCTCCTCTCCTGCCACCCACCAGGCGCAGATGGAGGTGGATCTGTTGAAGCAGCAGCTAGCAACGGCCATCAAGGCGAAGCAGACTCCAATCCATCTAATCTCCCTCCTGCTTTCTCCCGCCTCCTCTCCTGCCACCCACCAGGCGCAGATGGAGGTGGTTCTGTTGAAGCAGCAACTAGCAACAGCCATCAAGGCGAAGCAGACTCCAATCCATCTAATCTCCCTCCTGCTTTCTCCCGCCTCCTCTCCTGCCACCCACCAGGCGCAGATGGAGGTGGATCTGTTGAAGCAGCAACTAGCAACAGCCATCAAGGCGAAGCAGACTCCAATCCATCTAATCTCCCTCCTGCTTTCTCCCGCCTCCTCTCCTGCCACCCACCAGGCGCAGATGGAGGTGGATCTGCTGAAGCAGCAGCTAGCAACGGCCATCAAGGCGAAGCAGCAAGCAGAGGACGAGATGGCGGAGGGGCAGGCCAAGGTGGTGGCGGCCCAGGCTGCCTCCGCTAGCGCACAGGCAGAGGCAGGGCAGATCAGGAAGGACTTGAACGACTGCAGAATAAAGGTGGGTGAGGGATGCGGCGGGTGAGTGGGGAAAGGGGTTCTTGTGTACAAGACAGGAGGTCAAAGGGCGGAGGATGAGATGGCGGAGGGGCAGGCCAATGTGGTGGCGGCCCAGGCTGCTTCTGCCAGCGCCCAGGCAGAGGCAGGGCAGATCAGAAAGGACTTCAACGATTGCAGAATAAAGGTCGGTGGTTGAGGGTGGGAAGCAGGCGAGAATAACTCAACAACAACTCGTGTCTGTACAAATGTTACCACCCATGGTCACCCCACAGGGTGCATGAGCTAGAGGCGGAGCTTGCCAAGAAGTTGGGGGCGGATGGGGGGATGGGGGGAAATGACCTTATTGATCGTGACTTTAGGCTGAGCCAATCATGTATCTACAAATGTTACCACCCTTGCTTACTCCACAGGTGCACGAGCTAGAGGCGGAGCTGGCCAAGAGGTCAGGGGCGGATGGAGGGAGATGCCTCCGTACTGAGCCATGACTGTCTCAAATTGGTTCTTTGTCCATCATGTATTCACATGTGTTACCACCCTTGCTTACTCCACCACAGGTGCACGAGCTAGAGGCGGAGCTTGCAAAGAAGTCAGGGGCGGATGGGGGAATGGCGACGCTGCAAAAGGACTATGCTGCTGTGAAGAACGCCCTGGCTGATATGGAACAGGTGGGATGTGGTGGGGTGTGGTGGGATGGGACGCGGTGGGATGTGGTGGGGCGTGGGATGGTGGGGACATATTGGGTGAATGCAAGGGGGATGGCGGCACTGCAGAAGGAATATGCTGCTGTGAGGAACGCCCTGGCAGATATGGAACAGGTGGGATGTGGGGCAGGTGGGATGTGGGATGTGGGGTGTGGGGGAGTAGGATGTGATTGGGTGGGTTGAGGGAGGAGGGATGAGGTATACAGTGGGAACATTTTGGGCTGCCCGTGCCTGCCCAATATTGGGGCAGGGAACATATTGGGTAACCGCGAGGGCCGCCCCTGCCTTCCCTTCCCCCTCCCAAAGCAGGAACTGACAACAGCCAGACCAGAACCACCCTGGCCGCAGAGCCTATTTTTGAGGTGCCTCAAAACGAGGTGACTTTTGAGTCGACGCAAAAGTCACCTGCTGACAACAGTCAGAACCACCCTGGCCACGGAGCCTATTCTTGAGGCGACTAAAAAACAACAGCTAAAACCACCCTGGCCACAATGCAAGTGCGGTGCTTCCGGCTGGAAGTGGATGTGGCAGACTAAACACACACCCCACCCTACCCCACGCGCACCCCACCCTGCCCCTCTGATTCCACTCCCAACCCTACCAGGAACTCACTACTGCGAGAACAGCACTGGCAGCGGAGCAGGCAAGGTGTTTCTGGCTGGAGGTGGAGCTGGCAGAGTATCGGCAGCGGCTGGCAGGCATGGCAGATCTGGAGAGGGAGGTGGAGCTGCTGCAGCCTCTCCTGCACACATTTAAGCCCCATTTCACTCAGTTTTACTCTTTTTACTCTGTTTTTTTTCCTGCTCCCCTTACCCCAACCCACCCGAACCCTATCAGGAGCTGACGACAGCACGTACCACGCTAGCAGCCGAACAAGCACGGTGTTTCCGGCTGGAGGTGGAGGTGGCAGAGTATCGGCAGCGGCTGGCCGGCATGGCGGATCTGGAGAGGGAGGTGGAGCTGCTTCAGAGGCAGCAGGCTGCTGCTGATGCCATGGCTGCTGCTGCTGCCGGCAAGGGCAAGGGCTGGTGGGGAGGGGGGAGGTGACAAAATGTGGTAGAGGAGTTGATGTAATGTGGGAGGGTAGGTGGGCAGAGGGGGAGGTGATACAGTTAGGAAAGAAAGGCCTGGTCTGGAGGGAGGCGGGAGTGATATGATGATATAGTGCCTCAGAAACTGACTGGCAGGCATGGCGGATGGGGAGAGGGAGGTGGAGCTGCTTCAGAGGCAGCAGGCTGCTGCTGATGCCATGGCTGCTGCTGCTGCTGCGGGGAAAGGAAAGGGGTGGTGGGGAGGTGGGAGGTGATTCAGAGAGGGAGGGGGGGGGGTGATTGGGAGGGGGAAGGGCTGGCTGGGCATGGCGGATGGGGAAAGGGAGGTGGAGCTGCTGCAGCGGCAGCAGGCTGCTGCTGACGCCATGGCTGCTGCTGCTGCGGGGAAAGGCAAGGGCTGGTGGGGAGGGGGCAGGTGATTGTGAGGAGGAAGGGATGGTTTGGAAAGGGGAGGTGACCCGGATGGGAAAGGGCTGGTTGGAAGGGAGGATTTGGAGAGGGGGGTGGAGGGATTGGGAGGAGGGAGGTGATTGGGAGGAAAAGGGGTAGGTGGCTGCTGATGCCTTGGCTGCTGCTGCTGCCGGCAAGGCCGAGGTGGTGGTGGGATGGTGGAAGGTGGTGAGTATGGGGAGGTGTTTGATAGAGAGGTGTGAGTAAGGGTGCTGAAGAGGAAACGGACGAAACGGTGTGATGATTGTGCTAATACCGTAATCCCCCGTATATAAGACCCTAGGGTATTATGATAATCACCCCTAAAAAGGCTGGGGGGTATAATTATATGGTATACTTTTTAGAAGACCCGGGTCTGTTCATATTGACATTTATAAGAATGTACTTCTGGAGCTCAAAGAAGTGATTTGGAGTTGCTCCGTTTCTAGCTCCTTCCAAAAAAACTCGAATTGGTCTCCACACGGGCCGAACCCACGTCATCACAAACCCTATCTGGGAGCCTACTCCCATTGGCCACCAACACCACTTGGTGTTCACATGACAGCGCAGGGCACCGTTTGATGGCCTCGCCTCGGCCTTCACACCCCATGCACGCTTCGTGCGGGCTGCACAGTCCTGGAAAGGGCGGGATCTTCCAGACACCCCTACCGCATTCTGACATGGAATATGACCATTTTCAATTGCTTGTTTGTAAAATCCACACTTCTCTAGGATGTGGAGGGGTCTTATAATGTTAGGGGCCATTTAGGGGGTATAACTCAGATGTACTCGAATAGAGTCCCCGGGTCCGTATTATAGACCCGAGGGTCTACAACTGGGGGGGGTCCTATATACGGGGGATTACGGTATCCTTAAGAAGGGAAAAAACCGTAGGGTGATTGTTGGCAATGATGATTTGTGGATTCAAGAACAGGAAGCAAGTCCTGGATTGCCTATTTTGGTAAATTGGCAAAATAAGTATTTAAGTACGGTACAAGTACCACACCCATGTTTTAGGAAACGAGATACGGTACTGTAGCATTTTACAAGCTTGAAAAACCAATCACATTTGCCATGAGCTCCTACCCAAATTAGGGTTCGTTCCTGTGGAGACACTTGTGTCTCAATCCCGTTTCTTCCGAGTCGCGTCTACACATTTTTGCAATCTCGCGTCACAAAAAATGAGTGTATCACGAAACTGTGCGACCAGGCGAAATTTACAGCGGCCATTTTCAGGTGCGTGCCACTTAGTCGAGGCGCGCTATTCAGGTGCATGCCAGGTTGCGTACACTATTATCAGGTTAAACAATGTCTCCCGTAACGTAACACAATTTTCAAGATTCCATTCAAATTGGCACTAAAGGTCTGAAATAGCTTCAATTTCGGGCTACGCAAATCGGAATCGGAATGGTTGGCTCTCGATGCTGCATTTTCTGACGTCACAGTGCAATGATTGCTTTTCTGCCCAATTTCTGCGCAAATCTTTGCTTCGCACCAACTCTTTTTGAACGAATTGTAATGCTAAATCGTTTGTACTATTGGCGCAGGTGGCGGACGCTTCGCGGGTCAAATCAGCAAACCCTAGTGGGACGTGCGTTACTTGGAAAGGGTAATCCGAAACACGAGAAACATGCCCGAGTGTTAGAGGGAGTTAACCCTACCGCTATTAAGGATATATCATACGTTACATGTGTATTTAATGACACGTAATTAACGCCATGGTATACCACTTGTTTCATTATACGGTACATGTACGGCAAAACATTAATTTTGGTAGAGGAAAATTTTACAAACACTCACGAAAGGTTTGCTGATTTGCCATGCGCAGCGTCCGTCATCTGCGTAAACAGTACAACAGATTGAGAAAGCTTGCTTTCTTATTTTTATCAATTGGCATCGTTCTCATTACAACTGGCTTATTACAACATTTGCATCGAGATTGAACACAAGCTAGTGCATGCTAATATCCCTAGCTAAGATGTACCCTATCCAAGTGGCATTAGCAAGGCGTTCTACGCTGGGGTGGGTGGTGGGGATGTTGAGTGAGCCGTTTGAAATAGAGAAACGTGGGTGGAGGGAAATGAGCTCCAACCCACGGTTTTTGTAGTTGGAGAAGGGCGTTTAGCGCGCTTCGACGATGCCAATTGTGCAGTACAAGCAGCTTCGCTTTCACAATACACAATTTTAAAGAACACAATGTGTGTTTAAAAATTATAATATTGAGAAAGCTTGCTTTCTTATTTTTATCAATTGGCATCGTTCTCATTACAACTGGGGTCTCTGAGACATGGGCAGCGGGGGCCTCCTATGGCGTACGAGCGCCTCTGTGTGTTGCGCCGAAGACACCGCCTGCGTCGGATCTTGCAGGTTGCGGGATGCTGTGATGAGAGGCTCGACGTATGGCGTGACGTACATTTCCTTAGCTGTGTCGCTTCGCCATCTGCCCAGCCGTTTGAAGACTCTGTCTGGCACTCCAGTGTTGGCTGCTACTGTTGCCGCGCCTTTTCGGAAAGAGTGAGTGCCGAGCTGCAGCTCTCCCAGACCAACTTTTGCGAAAGCTTCCTTACACCAGTTCCGAATTGTAGTGTATGAAGGCGGCTTCGCTTGGCCTTTGCTGCTTGAAGCGTGCCCGAAGACACGAATCAACGGTCCCTCTGACTGAGGACCATAGCCGGCGAGTTGGATGAAGCGTCGGGTGCAGCGCACTGGGCAACAAGGGTCTGTCGTTGCTGCAATGGGTATCCATGTTCCGTGACCGGCCTGATCGGTCTTAGAGTGTGGTATGAGGATCCACATGACCTCTTCGTCGAATTGGATGTCTTGCCATTATATGGCCACTAGGTCGGAGTATCGCAGAAATCCTGAGTACATGAGGATGGGGATCAGCCCTTTCTGAAATTCCGCAGGGTCGTCAGACTGCAGGTAACTCCCGACCATGTCGCGGACTTGTTGGATCGATACGGGTTCCTTCAGACGAGTAGGGCGGGGGCAGTGTCGTTTTGCACAGTCGCGGACTTGGGTGGTAAACGGACCGATTGTTGGGCATTTGCTCCCAGTCATGCGATGGGCGAAGCTTACTGCCGAGCACGTCAGCTGCACTACGGACAGGGTGGCTTTGCGTCGGATTGCGTGAACCAGGTATAGTGCGAGTGTCATGTCGGAAGCTGGAAGAAAGGAGAGATCCACTTTTGTGCAAAATGCTCGAAACTTGGCCCAGTATGGTTCGTATGTCCGGATCGTAGAATCGGCGCGTGACTGCGCGAGCATTTTGATCAGTTGGTCGTGTAACTTTGGGAGCAAATCTGAACACAGGAGTGGACAATATGCATTAGTCAAATACCACTCGCAGTGCAATGATTGGGCTATGCGGTAGTCCCGTGCCCAAGAAGGCAGTAGAATGGGACCTTGTATCTAGGCATTGGCTTCCGTGTGTGAGAGGGATGTGCGCGTGGATGTGTGGAGCCCAAGTACATAGGGAGGGTTGCAAAAGTGGCCACCAACTTGCGCCTGGCCAGTGCGGGACTATTAATGTGAGTGATGCATGGGTGCGTTGTGCATGGTGGAGGACGGCTGGGACCAGTTGGGGTGGGGGGAAGGCGAAGTTGTTTTCGGCTGTCCATGCGATCGAGAACGCATCAACTGCGATGGCTTCCGGGTGGGGGATCTTGGTGCAAAAGCGCGAGAGTTGGGTGTTGTGAGAGTTTGCAAAGAGGTCGATGGAATGCGGACCCCAACGACGTTCTAAGATGCGAAACCACGGCTTCTTCAACGCGTAGTCGTCGTGGTCGACCATTTTTGAAAGCTCGTCAGCATGTGAGTTGAGCTCTCGCGGGATCCATTCAATGATCAAGCGCGTGCCGAGCCCCATGCATGTTCGGATGATGCTTTTGCAAGCCATTGTGAGGTCAGAGCTGTGAGAGCCGCCTTTGCGAAGGATGAAGAATACGCCCTGGTTGTCCACCCGCACGAGAACGTGTTTTTGCTTGATCTTGTTGGTGTACGTTTGGAGCGCCCAAAGGACGCCTTCGATCTCCCGCCGCGTGCTGGACGTTGCCTGTAGTGGCTCTGACATGGTTGCGCTCGCTTCTTCGAGGCCACCCGGAAATGTAGTTAGAGTGGCGCCCCAACCATGAGAGCTGGCATCCACATGAATTACCGCATCGTAGCTGTTCCGGACGTGGAAAGGTGCACCGTTGAACCGGTCGAACTCCTCAAGCCAAAAGTGTAGCTCCTCTGCTGCGGCTGGGGGGATGACCACGTTGCTTTTCCATGACGGTGCGTCGTTGATTACTTGTAACATGGCGTGGCTGAATGCGCGAGCGGTCGCGCCAAGTGCGACCCCCATTGATGCGAGCATGCCTGTGATTCTGGCCACGTGGCGGACCGGGACTGGTCGGCATGCCTTGCTTGCGCTCAGGAGGTTTTGGATGGTTGCATGTAGTGAGGCTCGTCGGTCGGGACCGATGGAGAATCGACCGGTATCGGTTTCCAGCTCTACACCCAAAAATCGTAGGCGTTGCGATGGTGACAGCTGTGATTTCTTCGCGTTTATCACGAGTCCTGCCT